GACCATGCATGAGGTGTTGTAGCAGCGCCACATGCCATTGCGCCATTCATTCATTCGGAATAACGTCTCGTTCTCAGTAGTTTCTGCGGACTTTCAAACAAGAGAGACTCTCAGAAACACTATCGATGTGAAATTTCAGCCGTCTGTCACAAATATGAGATCAATACAACACTACGACCAAAATACTAGATGAGTCTAGTCTTGAAAGAGAAGCTAACGACCAAGCGTGAAACCGCCCAACGCGCCCCTTCTGGTTCCCTATTCCGCCACCTTAGGGGGCCCTGCTGTGCGTAGAGTAGCTGGGCATCACTGCCTGATCAGACCTGTCCCTCTAAGTGGCTTCAGGAGCTACCCACCTTAGAAGGTATCAACATTCTATGACTCACTGACGTTTCTGAGATAGATGATAGGAAGGACGTACCGGTTCCTATAGTAATCCTGTCGTAAGATAACATGGAACTGATACATAACTGTTACAGACAACACATTTTAATCCACGGAACAAACTTATTTCAATAAACATTGAAAATCCGTCACGTATATGACGCATCGAAGGAATGCCTTTAGGGAGCCGGCAGAGTGGAGGGAGTATAGCATGTACGCGCTTGCACCACGTCATTTTTCCAGGATGGACTTCCCATTCTTACAGTAGAAACCAGCTAACTGACCCACAGCTGATGCGTACAGTAAGAATGGAAAGTTCACCCCGAAATTGCTTTTGTCAAGGCAGTGTTTCATCCACGCTCCCCTAATAAACCCGATCAACCAAACACGAAGAGGAAGAGTCGGAGGAGTTTTTAGATCCATCTGGTTAAATAGAATGCCTTCCCTTTTTGGTTTTAAATCCGTTTACAGAACAACATCTGCTTACAGCTTCATCCAAAGCAGCCAACATTCATATAATTCAGAAGCTGTGTAAATCAAGTCAGAGGGGGATATGCCGTTTCTCTACCAATCAGTATCGATGTGTTCTGCCACCTGACAATAAGAAAGCACCTGCATCCTGCAGGTGAAACCCACCTCATAGACATTCACGTGAATAGATATTCATGAGATAGATGAAATTTTGAAGAGTTTTCGGTGTGTAACGGTGTATTCTTGAAGTTCAAACACGCTATTCTAGCATTGAGAACCTGGAAAAAGTAAATTCCATATCCATTTGGCGATTTGATGCTCCGTCTCACTCAGGGCGTGCATGGCTCTAATCCAACGTGTTCCTGACAACGACAAGCCCAATGTAGTGTAGTGGCAGGTGGCGCACTATCACGCACGCGTGGTCGCAAGTTCAAATCCTGGATCATTATCTGCCTAGACCAACCAAGCCTGCCATTCCTTCGGGTCGGCTAGTTGGTTCCAGGCTCGCCTGTAAGGATAGAAGCACTAACTTGTACATCGGCTGACCACCACAAGTCATTGTATAGGCCACATACGCACTCATACGCCACTACGATTCTGAATGGAAGTCGGGTGCGGGGCGTATCCCTCGACGCGATTGGTCGACGATCTAAAACTTTGTCCATCGTCCTTTTATGTGCGTCAGGACGACGATATATGCGTTTTAACGCATGTATCTTCGGTCTAAATGCACATCTCGTCTTCAGGACGTAGGTATTATAATTGCGCCCCATCGCGAAGGCCCAAGACTACACACCAAAGTGGCTGCTTTCATACTCCGACGCTTCTACCTGCACACAGGTGGAATCGCATGTACAATCTTGCGTGCGGCGTGCCTGCGGCTATGCGACGGCGGCGCTAGCCAGCTGTGACAACACTGGCACGTGGTCCATGGGCGTCCAATGTTAACAACACCTGTCTAGCTCCGTGCCGCATAGCCGCTCGCACGCCGCACGCAAGATGGTTCTGCGATTGCAGGCACTTACGCAGGTAGATCGACGAAGTATGAAAGCAGCCAGAGGGGTCGATCTTTTCGGCGGGGTGTATTCTTCACCATCCATCCCTATGGACGTCATGTGGGATTGACCTAAGACAAGACTTTCAAGTGTCAGGGTCTTTGAGCATGTTCTACAACTTTAAAAGTTACAGTACCGTTCAAAAAGAAATCACCTTAAACCTTTTCTGCCATAACTCACCTCAAACACATTCTTTTTACCTGATTTTTTGA